CTGGCCTTGGTTATAGCTCAAGTTGAATATTCCTTCATGTTAGAAATTATACTGCCATTGCTGTTTTTTCTTTTTTGAGTATCTGAGACTTTCTTTCACTGCAAAGAGATTTTAAACAGTGCTTTCTCTCTTTTCATGTCTCAGCATTTAAATTACTACAAGGAAATTTATAGGGTGTTTATTTTTTAATGTTCTTGCCTTTGATGTACTCAATGTGTGTATGCCCATGTACACATGTGCACATGTGTGTGTGTTCATGTGTGCGTGTGGGTGTGCACGCAAGTGTGTGAGTGAGGGGGGAACACTGTGGTGTGTTAGCAAGTCTAGGAAATCAAGTCGAATTTTGGTTGGATTACTAGTTGAGAGACCTCTGCTCATTACTATAATCCTCTGATATTTTCTTTTCCTTTTTGGTTCTTGTTTGAATTGGGAAACATCTTCCTAGTTCTTCTGCCTTTGGTGTTTATATAGTCTTTAGGGACTACTGTATAAAGTTTCCATCTGTGTGCAGAAAGCCTCCGAGTTATCAGGGGACTGTTTGACAGAGGAATGGTCAGAGGGTCTGATTTTTTGTCTAAAAGGGGGAAAAAATGCAAGAGGGTTGAAGAAGGATTCCAGGTATCCATCATACACCTTCTTGTGGTATGATGATCTCTGTGACTTGGGGAAGAGTCACAGGAGCTGTGACAGAGACAAAAGGAAATTTTCCCAGATCAACAGAGGTGGAGGGAGATGATCAGTTTCTAGTAATACACATGGAGCCAACAACCCAGGAAATGACTGGAAAATTTTCTGATGGTCTGTAATTTCATTTATGATCTTTGGTGGAAGTTGAAAAGATGGGGAAGTGAGAATTCCAGGTAGAGGAAGCCTCATGGGAAGAGGCCCCACGTAAGAAGCAGCAGGGCTGAGCCAGCAGCAGGAAGTCCAGATAGATGTTGCCCAGTCAGAACAGCATGGGTCCATGTGCCTTCAGGAGCTTCCTCCTTACCCCAGTGGCTAAGGGAGTTGGGGAAGACAGCAAGGAAGGGACACAGTCACACCTGTGAGCTTAAAAGCATGCAGTATGGAAAATGGCTCTTAACAAATAGCTAGTCAGTGAAAGGACAAATGACTAATGGTGAGATGGACAGAAGAATGAATGAATGAGTATACAACTGGATAGAATGCAGAGTGTGAGCAGTACCCCTGATTGATCTCTCATTGCTCTGACCAGTGCTGGGTCTAGAGGACGTTTTGCCAACTTCAGAGAATAAACAGAATATATTAATTAGGGTGGTTCTGTCTTTGGGAAAACCAGGGATTTAGATAGTGACTCTTAGCATTGAGAGCTGAGAGTGGTTGGCAGTGGGGGGAATCTTCCAACCATTTTCCTTCTGTGCATTTTTATTCTACTTTGATTTCATTCAGGATCATAAAGAAGAAGGTTTTTGAGTTACACCCCAGAAAATTTGAAACCATCTCAGTGACTTGCTCCAGAGGAGGTTTTGTGCACTGGGAGCATTTTTATTTCCCTAGGCTCATAAAGGAATATGGACAGACACAGAAGTTTTTGAAGCATCTGAAGGGCTCCCAGGTTCCTGGATTTCAGCTCCACCCATAGACTACTCCTATGTTAAAGTCTCTCTCACTCTCTATATGTGTACAATAATAGTAGTAGTAGTAGTAGTAGTAGTAGTAGTAGTAGTGTCAAAGTCTCCTAAAAATTACCAAATCTATACTACCTCTTTTGCCAGCAATAGATCTATATGAACAATTTCTTGCAAGGTCACACTGTTTAGTGTATATAAAAGGAGAGGGAGTGTGTGTGACAGTGTGCATGCCATCCAGCAATCTGGGAGGTGGAAAAAAGCTGTTCTTGATAAAGCCCAGTGGAGCGCAAGGTGCATCTCAAAAGCCTGGTGTTTTCTCAAAGGTCTTTGTTCTGACTTAACCATCCTCACCTTGCACTTTGAGATTTTTAAACTCTGGCTGACTGTGGTGTGGTTGCTCAAGATATTTTTCAGGCCAATTAAATTTGAATGTCCATATTTGGGAGAGAGACATCTGTAGTTTTTAAAGTTCATCAGGTGATTCCACTGTGCAGCACAGGTTGAAAACCACTAGCTTACAGTACTATAACTTACTCTGCCCCACTCCCTGACTCTTGGTATCTGTCCCATCCTACCCTTGGTGTACTATGAAAATCCCTCATCCAGTTAAAGATATTCAGCTCATTTGGTCTGAGCCTTTCTATTGCTACCCATCCATCACTGCCTCTGAAATTAGAGACCCAGAAGACAGGTTCTCAGCAGATTCTGAAGTGCTTACCATTCTCCTTCTATTCGGGATATTGGAGGTGAATGGTGAGGTTGAGGGGACAGGAGAGTAGACCATTTTCCATAGGTCATTAATGATGAGTAGGTTTTTTTTATGTGTGTCATCTCAATAATTCTCTTGATAGCCCACAGAGGCAGGTAACATACCTGGCTGGAGTACACAGTTTGCATAAATGCATACCTAATACAAAATGGCTTGTGACCTCTGAATGATCAGCTTGTGAACGTCGGTTGTCCTTGAGAATTTACATACCCATCAAACAACCTTCTCTTGGGTTAGCTATGGATGAAGGCTGCTGCTTTCTGGCAATCATGGTTCAATGGGAAAGAAAGCACCTGTGTCCTCTCCTTATTCCATGGGATCCAGCGCTACGGTTCAGTTTTAGGGTGGTCCTTCCAAAAGGCCCACTTGAACATATATTTTAACCAAAAGGCCTCCACGTTGAGAAATTAGTTGTTCTTATTATCCTTGCATTTCCCAGGGCCCTGGGAGGACTGGACAGTAGTGGTACGGGGAAAGAGGCTCAGATCAAGACCTGAAACAAGCTATTCCAGCCACATACTCTTGACTTGTAGAATGGACCATATGGAATCATTTCCAACCCTGGGTTCCTTGTTAGCAGCTCTTTAAAAAGATATTACTGTGGATGCTATCAGGCCATGTAGGGGCCAGAAGTCTAGGTTGAATCATTAAGTGTGTGCTTCTGCAAGAGTTTTTGAATTGGGATTCTCTGGACTGTACAGTGGCATAAATGTAGTATAGGAACTATCATGAGCCATGCTAGCCAGCTGTGAAGACTGGATGACAAATTAAAGGGAGAAGGCTGAATTGCGGTACATCCATGATCTCAGGTGAGCAGAGGAATGGGGAAGCATAAGAGACTACTGGGTGAATTGCTTATCGCCAACAGAGACAACTTCTGCCAAAGTTTTCTCTTGTGTATATCATGTAGATGGAACCAAAGTTATTTTTGGCTATTTTGTATCTGCTGCCTTCTTTCCCTCCTCAAACATACAACAATCACCTTCAGCAATGGCTTTTATTTTTTGTAAGCAAGGGACAGTAATGTTTCCAGGAAGTAGGAGGTCAGCAGAAGCATTCATGCTGGACTCTTGATGACTTATTTTGTCTTCTGGATTTTAATGTAGGACATGTTGACAAGGGACCATGGATTGAATAAAAGTTGACTATAGTGTTGAGAAATGTTAGATACAATTAGATACAATTACTCTAAAAGGAGTTAAGAGTGGTTCTTCTCCAGACATACTCCATAAGACTTTGTGAAGTAATTTAGAGCTAATGGTGAAGGAATCAAAACCTAATTACAGTGAACTATATGGAGGAATAATACTTGATCAAGGAAGCTCAGATTCTGTTCCACTTCTGTTCATCCATCACTGATAGTCACAACCTCTGGGAGGCTCTATTTGCTGTTTTGTAAAATAGGAAAATAAACCCTACCTATTTAACACAATTAATGTGGGGGTTCAGATGAGATCTTGCATAGGGAAGTGCTTTGCAAATTTTAAGTTACAAATATATGTTATGGTTTAACCTTGTACTTTCTTATTCAAATAGTACACTGCTCTGCTTCTCAGTCAGGCTTGGAAAATGTTCCCTGAAAAGGTACCACAGGATCTAAATGCTCCTGAAACATTGAGAATATTGGGGGAAATTTCAGGTGGCACCATAAAAAATGGGAAGAAAACTTACAGCTGTGACTGAAAGAACAGCAGTGTATTACTCTGTGTCTTTCTCATGATGTCATCCAGGATATAAGATTCATGGAGCCTCCATTTGTAAGGGGCTGTTCATGGGCCAGAATGTTAAGATGGGTGTGTGCTGGGCAGGAAACATGCTGTCCAGGAAATCTGAGTTTGTTTTAGCGTGGGTTGTCCACTACATCTGCAGAGTAGGTCCCCCGGTTGTTTCCAGCTGTGCTGGCACTCCCTGAACGCAGTTACATCTGCATCTGCAAAACAGATCTTCCCTGTCGCATCATAGTGGATCTGGTGGCAGATCTAATAGCTGACCTCCCCTGCTTTGATGGCTCCTCCTTTTTTATTTTCTTATTATGAAAATCTCCTTGAAGCATCCTTATTCTCATTTTTGTGGGTACAGTGTTTTATGTCTTTGAGATGATTCAATATCCATATTCCTTTCTGATGGCTCCTTGAATGGCTTCCTTGGGTTTTGAGGGTTTTGGTTTGATAAAGTTTGCTCTTTCTTTTCATAAATGCTGGATTTTCTAGGATAGGTCCTGATTATTCTGATTGTCAGCTGATTTTCTGTGACACATTCCTACATATCATAAAGGTAGCTTCTGTGCTTGGCCTTCAGTCTGTGGCTTCCTTAATATTTACCTTCTTTTAGGGATACCTCAATAGTTCTTGGCAAATGAAAGTTCTGCTTTTTGTTTTTAAGCCTTGGAGGTTATGAATTTGATGTATTTTCTATTGCACACACAGATGTAGTCCAGGGGAAAACTTGCAGTGGGATCTCAGGCTGCCATCTTGAAACAGGAATCTCTTCTAAGTTCTTAAAAATGTTCCTATCAAATGAAAACTAAGAGAGCTAGACCCTTTAGCAAACTGCCTGCCCCATAGTCTGGCTTTAGAGAGAGAAAACTTTCCTTAGCTGTACACTGTTGTAATTTAAAATAGAGGTTCCGTAGCACCAACCTGATTTAAGCGCTATCTTCACCTCTTCTTAGCTGTCGGACCTGGGCAACATCTGTAAGATTCAGGCAGTTTCTGTAAGTATAAAGTGTGGTGAGGAATAGTGCTCTGACCTTTCCCATTACATTGTTGAGAGTCCTGAACAAGATAGAGGAGGTGATTTTCTTGAGTCTGGAACATGGTCAAGGTTCAAAGAATGTTAGCCATTACTGTCCCAAGATTATTGTTTGAATATTATTAATTTACTAGGGAAAAAATAAAGATACAATTACATCTTAGAAAATCCAAGGGTGGGACTCTGAACAGACAAGTGTGACATGAATTTTACATAGTAGTTTAGGAAGATGTAGTTGTCTATGAGGTTTTGGTAGGGTGGGTCCCTCTTAGCTGCCTCTCAGGTGGAGTGATAGCACTTGAGTGTAGAACGTGACTTTCAGGTGAAAGCCAGCCACTCCACATGTGTACCTTCTTTATCCAAATGCTTAGGCTTTTCTCTAGGAAGCTCCTAAGAGAAGTCCAAACAGTATATACCTGCAAATCCCAGTTGCTATGGACTTTTTTTCCTTTTAATTCCCTGCACTTTCCAAGCCAAATACAAGATTAAACAATGAAGGCCTTAGGGATATCCCAACAGTAAGATTCAGAGCCTTAAATCCTAGATAATTAGATAACCAGTTTTTGATCCAGTATGTTGGTTTTTAATGTGGTAAGTTTTTAAAAATTTGTTGAGGATTTGTTAGCTTATTTATTTACATAGAGGGTCCTGAGCCTGGATATTGTGGTGTGCAAGGTGTCTTAAGTTTCCATAGCAACTCTACATGATAGATATGATCCCCCCCTCTTTACTGATGGGACAATGAGACTCAAGAGAAATTATACCACGTGATCAGAAGCTGGAGCTCTCTAACTCCAAACCTTGGATACTGTCCTTAATGCAAAACTACCTCTTCTCCATTCAGGAGTAGATTTGTCTGCCCAGGTTCCATATGTCCTGCTTTTAAACCACATGCCTTTCTGCAAGAAACACACATTCTCACTTTTGAGATTCTCCTTATTAGAACCTTTATCTAATTATTAGATGAACTGTTTAGTTAACTCCTAAAGGCCTCAAGCTGTATTCTTGCCTTTCCCTTCTCTTTGTTTCCTGCATTCACTGGGACTTTTGTTGGTGAACAATTTTGTTGCTTATGGAAGAAAAGTGTGAATCTACCCAGTAATATGGGAAAATCTCATATTCAAAGAAATAAGATGCAGTAGGAGACTCTTCACCACCTGCAAAGTACAGTCCCAAGATCATTGAACATAACCCACTTTATACACACTTTATGCTGGAGTTTCCTGCCAGCCGGAGACCTTGCTTTTGTGCATGTTGTTCCGGTGCTTAGGATCCTGTGGCTGCCTGCCTTAACTAGGATAGGTGCCGTGGTTCACCAGGAAACCTTCCCCCAAAGTCCAACATTTAACCTGTAGTTCTTCACTTGCTACAGTAGGCATGCTCCTGTGTCTCTCTACGAATCTGTACACTCTCTGTAAGGCCATGTTCTAGTCACCTTTATATCCATCAAGACCTAACACAACATTCAAGCCATCTTGGTCACACTGGACTAGACCCCAACCAAGCAAAGCTTCAACTGCCCCAAGAGTTCTCAGAATTTGGCAAGACGCTTTTCAGTACTGATTGATCTATATTTGTTGATTTTATCTTTGAGGAAAAGTTTGTGGTTGTTTTTGAAATCGTTATTTTACCCCTGGGAAATTTTAGCTAGATAGCTTTAGAAAGGGGTAGAATAAATCCCAATCGGGACTCTAAAGTCTTGGCTTTGAATTTTCGATTTCTAAGATTTTCTTTTTATTTTTTTTTTAAATATTTTGTTAGTTGTAGCTGGACACATACCTTTATTTTATTTACTTGTTTTTATGTGGTGCTGAGGATCGAACCCAGTGCCCCACACATGTGAGGCAAGCGCTCCACCACTGAGCCACAACCCCAGCCCCCTAAGATTTTCTTTTGGCATTGATATTGACATTAGCCAGAGCTCCCCTACTAGGTAATCCTTACCTCAGTACCCAGAAAGATTCTTCCTTCTATTCAGAAATATTTAGTAAGCTCCTGCTGCATGCTAGACATTTTTCTAGGTACACTAGATATAGTAGCAAACAAGAAAGATTCACTTACCCCGTCCCCTCACAGAGCTTACATTCTGGTGAAGGCCATCCATAAACACAAGCAACCAGGCATATAAATGGAAAGGTTATTTTAAAAATTTCTATGGGAATTAGTGACATGGTGGAAAATAAAACCAAGTGATATGACAGACAGCAGGAAAGAGTGTTTTAGATGGGTATGGTTGGGACACAGCCAGAAGGCTTGTATGGCTGAGACAGATAGGGAGAGAGGCCAGCAGGCCAGATGATGCAGGGCCTTAATGACCATACTCAGAGTATATTTGTGTGATGAACTGAGATGTATGATAGGAAGCCAGAGTTTGTTTGTTTGTTTTGGTTTGTTTGTTTCTCCTCTGAATTGTGATGGGAGATTTTTGATTTGGGGGGCAGAGTATAATATCACCTGATTAATATTTTTAGAAGGTCATCCTAACACATTGTCAGAGATGGGCTGTGGAACAGGGAGTCAGTCAAATCAGATGCCAGTACAATGGGTCAGAGTAATTGGTGGCCTGGACTTGGGTGAGAGCAAGGGAGGGGTTAAGAGGGTTAAGAGGCCAGACGATTTAGGATCTGTTTGGAAGTAGGGCTGGAAGGACTTGCTGATGGATGAAAGGTAGAGGGTGGGAGAAAGAAAGATGTCATAGAAGAGGGAATAATCAAAGTCTCCCTAAAGGATAGAGTGTTGTTCTTGTCTGGCTCCTGAGGCCCTCTAGAAAGAGCTTACTTTCCAATTCTGAATTGATGGCACACAAGGTCTTCAGGCATGGAAAGTAAGAAAGTAAGCATAAGAGAGAGAGAAATGTCAGAATGTTAAGTATGCTTCATTTATCTAATATGAAAAATGAACTCTTCCCACTGACCTAATGGGCATAAACTCTGGTTCATAAAATGCAAATCATTCAGTGACTAGCTTCTGATTGCCTGATATAGTGAGGTATTGTGTTCTGTGCTAGTGAAGAGTATGAAAATGCACAGTTCCTCACCTCCAAAAACTTAGGACAGTGCGTGTAGGAAAAATGGACATGTCCAACTAAATAACACTCAAGATAGCAATGACCAGGGCCATGGGAATGGTACACATAGATGGCAGGTAAAGTTCCAAAGACTTCTGATGGGTGATTGATTGATGAGACCCCAGAATCAAGTAAGAAAATTGCAGGGGGTGAGGACAGCACAAGCAGAGGCACAGAGGTACAAAGAAGTGTGGAGTGTCTGGAGCCTGACCCATTTGCGCAGAAGAAAGAGAGTTTATGCAGAACATAGGCAGAACCTGCATCTCTGGGTCACTTCCCCCTTCCCTCCTAGGACACTGTGCTTTGGGAGGTGAAGGGTCAATTGCACCTCCTCATGGCTTCTCTCATTTTTTTCTGTTTTCAGTTTTCATTATTTCCCCCTCAGAATGTTCTTTGACTTTTTTGGAAACTCCTTTTGAGCTCTTCTTATCTGTTTCTAGTTTAACACTGTGTTTCCTCTCACGGGGTTCTCCTTTAAAGGTTATAGTACTTGAGAGTCAACCATCCTGAAGGTTTCCTCTGAATTTAGCATTTGGTCTGTGATTTGCTCTTTTGCTGCCATCCCAATCCCAGAAGAGAAAAGACTTACCTGGAGTATAGGCAGGGCTTCAAAGAAAACCGTAATGTTTCCATCTCCCAGGTTTACAGAGTTCTGCCAAACTTGGCCCTATGGGAAAGGGGAAAACCACTTACAAGCTTTCCTTCTTGGTATCAAGGGCAAACAAATCATCTAGCCCCTTCTAGATCTGCCATTTATCAGCTACTGGTTTGGAAACCCCAGGATGATCTGATTGAAACCTCACACTAAGTTATTTAAAACATTCTTGCACATGTGTCTGTTGGCACATGCATATACAAATACATATGTGTATCTCTTTGTGCTTTTTCCTAGCTTCTGATGAGTTCTTTTCCAGAAGGCTGGGATTCAAAGCTTATAAGTCATGATTTCTAGAAGACTTTTGCTTCTCCCCAACCAGGATGCCATTTCTTTCCTCCCCTGGAGAAATGTTAACTGTTGGCCCAGTGGCAGGGCAAGGATCAAATTCACCTTTGTATTCTGAGTCCCTAAAGCCTGGGGTAGGAATCCACATAGTGGTCTACAGTCTGCCTCCAACAGCCTTTGGGAAAACCTTATCCAATCTCATGACTCCTAAATGGCCTCAGAAGTGTGTGGATTCAGAGGAGAGTGGTTTGGTTATCTAGCCACCCCTGGAGATGTGATAGAGAAAATTCTGGCGGAGCAGCGTCCTTGCAGGCAAATCCCAATATCACACCTTTTGCTAAACTCTATTCTGGAGTGGGACATACCAAAGGAGCAGATACTACTTTTATTAAATGATAGAAGTAATTGATTTCTTGTGAAGTTGGATAAACTCCAGAGTAAGGAAAGTTTTGTTCTTAGTTTTAACCATCTAAAAACTCAAGATCCTGCAGCATGATGGTTGGTTTAATTTTCCTCGTCACTTTGCTTCTGTGATGTCTCAATGGTTGCACCCGTTTCCTATTAACTCCCCATTTTGCCATGCAGGCAAGAAAGATGAATTTAGCTTTTATAACGTTTAAAGAATGGTAATGGTTAATCATTGTTGAACTTGGAACTGTGATCAGACTGTAAATGTGAGCTTTTGAATCCCCACACTACTCCATCACTTCATCCCATTTTGTAGATAAGGCAGCTGAGCTTTCAACAGACTTTTCTACATTGCACCTAAGATCATCTGAGAAATCATATATTTTGATTGTCTAATGCATGATCTGTCTCCCCTTTATAATGTAAATTCCACGAGGGCAGAGCTTTATGTGTATCCTTGCTTCACTGCTACATCTCCTGCACCTGGAACACTTCATGGCACACAGAAGTTGCTCAGTAAATATTTGTTGAATGAACAAGTAATTTGCCCAAGGTTAGATGGCTAGGAAGTGGTGGCACCAAGCTTAGAGTCACTCTTTACTGACTCTGGAGTCTAGGTAGTTACAACCACTATCTCACTCTGACTTTGTTTATTTAAAAATAATTTCCTCCTCTCCTCTCCTCCCCTCCCCTCCCCTCCCCTCCCCTCTCTCCAATGTCACTACTAGCTGTAGTAACTGCAGTACCCCTCTATATGGTAGGGTTATCCTATTCTTCCTCTTTATCACTGTCCTTAAATTGTTAGGTATAGACAACGTGTTTCATTTTGTAATCAGAAACAAGACATTTGCCTCTTTAATTCATGAGTTTGGCTTTTCCTAGATTAAGATTAAGACCAAAGAAGTATCATAGAGCTGTTTGGACCTGTTAGGATTTCCTCCTTTCTTGCACTCAGCAGTGGAAAGATGACCCTAAAGTTTTGGGAGACCTTTTTTAGAAGTAGTTATAGCAAACAGCTTTGTTTTCCGATTGTGCAATAAGTATCTGGTCTAAAATATGTTCAATGTACAGAATTAGGAAAATGTTAAAAAGAACAAGACAATTACCAGAAATTCCATCAGCATTCTAGTAGATATCCTTTGCAGTTCTTTTTCTTTCATTTGTATATGTGTGTGTACATTTCTCTTTTTCAATAAGGGACTTATCATCCTATGTAAATAAATTTTAACTGCCATTTTCCATGTAATATTACATTGTGTGTGTTTCTCCATGCATTTAAATATTCCTGTACAAGGTGATATCCCCGTAATATTCCATCCCGTACCACAGTTTAACCTTTTCATTACTGAGGCACATTTTCATCTTGGTTACAGCTTTTATACTGCAGTTACCATCTTTGACATTATATATAAGTGAGTGGGTGTAGGTATTTATCCTCTTAGAAGAGACTTGTAGAAGTAACCTTTCTGGGATTAAGAAGGTCAACATTTTAAAGAAAGGTGGTGATTCCCGAAAGCTCTGACATCATGGAGTGTGAGAACCTGAGTTGGAGGTTATCACAGGACAGCAGGGAGACCCCAGGGTACCTCCAATGGGGCAGCCTAATGAAGAACGCTGTGCACTATGAGGAAGGCCATCACCTCCTCTTTGCTCCCTTATCTTTTTGTTGTTCTCATTGTTCTATCTTGATCTTTGAGGCTTATGTGCTTTCTTGATCTAATTTTGGGGTTATTCTCCTCCTGTCTTCCTCTTCACCCATCCCCAGTCTTTCAGCTAAGTGTGCATTTCACATGAGAACTTGGGGGCAGGAGCTAGGCTGCCTGGCCTTCAAATCCAGCTTGATCGCTTACTGTCAGGGTGTCTGTGACCAGGGTGCCTATGCATCTGTCATCCTCAATTTCCTCATCTGTAAAATGGATAACTACCTTATAGGATTGCATAAGAATAAAATGATTATACATAGACTGCTTAGGACAGTGAGACACATAGGAAACATTTAATAAATGATGGATTATTAAATAAATTTTTAGAGAATAAATTAAAAACAGATGATGAATATTATTACTATAAATATTCATATTGTTTTGACTTTTAAAGTCTCTTGCAAGTCTGTTTAACCCTCTGATGTGCATGTGACTTCCTGACAGTGTTTTTTCCAGCCCTCGATACCAGCTCTCTTCCCTTTGGGGGTTTTCCTGTCCTTCTCTCTCCCCTTCTCTAGGAAGCTGGCTGTTTTTCAGAGCATGGGCTTTTCTCTGGCTTCCAGATCTGCCCACATGTGCATGCTTCTCTCTCCCACCCCTCTTGGACTCTCTCCCCTTATCAGTTTATTTGTTCACTTAGGAAGAACTGGAGCCTGGCCGGCAGCTTTTCCCGTTGGCTTTATCTGTGTGCTGCATTGTAAAACTATTCTCTCTGTTACTTAGAAATCTCTTTGATCCATGTTTAGCTGTATTTGTTCTCCCAGCAGATGTTTTGGGTAGTTAGAGGATTTTCTTCTCCCATTTGCCTAGCCTCATGCCTCTTCAGGCCCTCCCCGCACTTGTTTGGGTTCTTTTCCCCAGCTGACCACTGACCAAGGCCATCTGTCAAGAAGTTCTCCTTGGCCTAGCAGCATCAGGAGCAGCCTGGCAACTAGGACTTTCTGAAATGACTTACTTAGAGGTCAAGGGAGGACGATGTTGGGGAACTCTGCAGGGTACAGTTGGAGTTT